CATGTTTATATGACTATATGGGTATGGGATTTAGTTCTAGGATGTTGATCGGGTCTATGGGTTTCTGGGAATCCTGTTGGAAAGGCACTTGATCACTGTCGTTTCTAACTAAAACTCTAGCGACGCCACGGGACAATCATTATCCGGAGATGAAATTCGTATGTGTTTACGTGATTATGTGCTTATGTGGAGTGAACTACAGTTGTCCATTGTATGAGGACTCGAGTGAAATAGCTTCGGCACATTTGTGAATGTGCTAATCCTTTTGTTACCTTTATTAGGATGTCAGGACGAGGTCGTGGTAATAGGCGTGGTAGGCCTAGGAGGCAGGAGATGCCTATCCCGGATGAAATTCCGGTGCAGCAGGAGGGGGTTGGTCAGGCCAATGTGGCCGAGCCAGTAGGTCAGCAGGCCATGCGTATCGGTATGTTTTCCTAAACTTGTGCAAAGAATTAAAAAATTCGTGGCTCCAATTGCCGCCACCATTAAGGCCGTTACACCCCGCAACCTTGTCAACATTACCAATACCATTACAGTAACCACTACTATTATTTAAAACCTTGCACTTGATAAATTCTACATCAATACAAGTCAAAGAAAAAGAAATGCAATTTAGCACAAAATTGCTTCTTCATTTTTCTTCTACCCTTTTTCGGTGTTTTCTTCTGGCTCTGTTTCCATGCTTCCATTTTGATCTTCTGTCTCACATTCAGTGCTTTTTTATGAACTTTCGACCCTTTCTATTTCATCTAATGCAACATAAAAAATAAAAAAAATAAAAAAAGTACAAAAATATTTAAGACTCAAAAATCTTTCACAATTCAATCCACAATAATATGATTTGATAACTGTCAGTTTTTTATTGGTTATACACTTAACTATATGCTACCCACTACCTTTGCCACATTATTGTGGATGCATTTGTGGGTATAAAATGTAGATCTCTAAAATTATTGAAAAAAGTAATGACAAATGCAAAAGAAAATACTTATATTTCGTTTTTAAATTATTAATTTCATTTATTTAGTTTTTAAATTTCCTAATATAAGCTAATGTAAACCTAATTGCAGACACTTGTTTCGTTACGGTTAAAATCTAATTTAATGGGTGAAAAGTTATTTCAAAATTTGAACAACTTAAATTATAAAATTAACTATTTTAAAATGAAAGGAAGAGAAGAATAGTAGTGTTTATTTAGTTGTAGAAAATAAGTGTCTAATATTAGTATGAATAAGAAGATGAGTGTTTAGTTATATGTTTTAGATTGTCCAAATTGTAAAATTACATTTTTTTAAGAAGATAAGTGTTAGTGATTTGGATAGACAGTCCCCAATTGGACCATATGAATTGAAATAAAAAACCTCAGAGATTAAATTGAAGAAATTAATGGTATAAGAATGAAATGGGAAAAAAAATGACAATAATTTAGCAGATAAAAGTGAAATGAACCAAAAATAATTTGATAGCGAACAAGTTATCAAATACCCAAAAACCTTCTCATAACTAGTAAATTCCAGACAAATTCAATCCAGTAAAATACATGGTAAAAATAGAGACGAAGAACACACTTTGCCACCAGCAATTTTTATTCTGTCCTCCATTATCCAAGACGAGAGTACGAGTAGTATTAGCAAAATGTATTTCCAATTGTACTATGTAGTGCATTTCATTTCTCAACCCTTTTTTTGCTCTGTGCACTCACCTATTACAATGATGCTCAAGACACAACTCCGAGAGTCAATATAGTTTTAGAGAAGCGACACTCAAAGTCAAAGGCTTGGACAAAACAGTACAACTAGCATAATAAGATAAATCTCTCACAACATGAGAGGCTAGGCGAAAATAACACACCCACAGGCAAAACAAGCTTAAAAAAATAAAAACCACCATCAAAGTAATCCACAATAGCCAGCTTGTATTTATGCTCAACACCACAAGGTAATGCACTGCCCCTAAATGCCATCCCCGATAAGGACCTCTCTTGAAGGGTCTCATGCCAAATACTGTGGCCAATCAGAGCAAACATCCCAAAATAGAGGAAAGTGAAATGACACTAAAGCATCTGGCATTCATACAATCAAAATTCGCCAGTCAGAACAGACCATGAAACATTCAGTATATTTACACCGGAAACTGGCAACAATACGATGAACAGACCTGAAATATTCAGCACTTATCAAAAATAAAAAAGACCAAAGGAGGACTGCACCCCCCATCCCGAAGCCAACCGCCCCAAGGGCAAAAGAACAACTACCCTAGCCACACACAAGCCCAAGGGGATAGGTTAACAATCCACTTCACCTACTCATTTCATTTCATTTCCCAAACTCTCAATTTTGTTGATAATGAAACTAAAATAATAATACCACATTCACCCAAGCACATAAGTATTTTTCCAGTATCTGAAATATCACACTCTATTACAATGTATATCAATACAAATAGGACGAGAATAACAAAATTTACCTGGAAAGATCATCCCCATTATTTTTCTGACCCACTCTCCATGCTTTCTGTGTCAACTGATGTGTCCACTGATGTGTCAATTGATGCTACACAGAGAGAGAGAGAGAGAGAGAGTTAGATATACATACACATTTGATGAATGATGTTCTTCCAACCATAAAAAAATAATAAAATTCAAAGCCCCCACTAAACACTGAAAAGTGGCAAAGAAATAATCCTAAACTACATTATGTAAAGAATCTCCAGCCTTTAAAATTTTAAACTCAAATCCTATCATGAACTGTAAAAATGCTTAAACTACTTATATTGGAATGTTCATTATACTTAAAAGAAACATGGTGTTATCGTGTTAGATGTCATCTATAAATCTTTAAAATCCTAGACTTGAAAGTACAAAATCCCAAAACCATTAGTATCTTGGCTATGTGTTTGGTGATTACCATGGAAGAATGGAGTTCTGATGAAATCACAGAACTGATTTTCATTGCTCAAAAAGATATTACACTTGAGTTTTTATACAACCACACAGTACAATCTCTATTCCTAGCTAACTGCACTAACCTCACCTAACAGCCTAACCACGTATCACTAACTAACTAAAATATTGTTCCAATGTAACCAACTCACACATGCTTAGTACATACACACCTGAGAGGGTAATTTTTGGGAAAAATTGGGCCGAGCTGCGAGTTGGGCTTTGAGGCCCAAAACGCGAAGGACTAAGTAAAAATGCCGTAAAGGATACTCCGGCCCAGGAGAGCAAGGTTACTCCGGCCTTGGGGAGACAAAGTTACTCCGGCCCAAGGAGGTGACATTACTTCGGCTCACTATAAGAAAGTTACTTCGGTTAGAGGATTGTAAATGTACTTCAGCCAAGGAACGACTTGAAGTTAGACCGGCCTTGAAGTTATACCGACCTTAGAGGTATAACGGTTTGGGAGTATACCGGTCAAGAGTCGTTGGTTCGGTCCAAGCACACCACGGTTCGTGCATGAGAGAACCGAGATGTGGTGTAGCACAAAGAAGAACCAAACTACTGTTAGTACGGCCTACTCTGGCTCGGCATAGCCAATTTTACTTCGGTCACATAGAAGTTCGGCCATAAAGAAAACCATCCCACTTGGTTTAAGCAGTGGGGGAGGGTGTAAAAGGATAAGCATTATCCTTAGGAGTATGAATCCTAGGAGGACTCTGCATGGAGAAGTAAAAGTCCTACTAGGATTGTGCCACTCGAAATCTATAAAAGCTCACAAACATCACCTTGGAGGAGGTAATTGAACACAATTCTTTCTGAGAACTTAGAGCTTTGTCTATTTGTCAAGTTTTCTGACTTAGGCATCGGAGAGGTTTCCGGCACACACCCGCCGGCTAGCTCACGTTTGTGTTTTCAGGTGAAAAAGCGACGTCGTACGGAGGAGCGTGGATTTGGTCAACAGGATTATACGAGGAGAATTATTTCCTCCCCGTACAACACCTATACAATTCATACACACTAAGCTTCCTCTGTTTTATTAGGAAGGACTGCAACCTGAGCTGTGGTTGCAGTCTCAACCTTGTCAGCACAATGTATAGTTGTTGCTAGCTTCATATAACTAATTAAAATTACTTAATATCTCTCGCTGTTAGAATACATATTAACTCCTCATAAATATATAAAAATATACGTGGTTAAATGATTATACAGAGGATAGGTTATATTCAGTATCCTGTCAAAACAAATCAGATTTAAGTTAGCCTTTTCATGAGGTTCTTCGACTAATCATTTTAAATGACTTAGCTTGATAACAAGGAAACATATATATTAAAATGAACAAAGGACATATGTTATGAATTATATTAATGCATTGACTCGCATGATGGCGGCGGACATGGAGGCTTTGAAACGCCAGATGAAGACTAAAGATGTGGCGACAGGAGAGGGGCGCAAGCACAAGACGCCCCCTCGCCACTCAGAGAATCGTAGTAGGAATACTACGCCCTCCCAAGGAGAGAGCAGAAGCCTCAGGACAGGCGACACTCATTCCTTATCTTCCAGGACTCGTCACTCCAGGTCTGAGAGGACGAGATCTGAGAGGTCATACACTGAAGGAAACACGTATTGGCCTTCGCATTCACACCAAACCAGATCTAGACAGACAGAGCTCCCTAGGTCATCCGACTTACGAACCGTGCTCGAAGAAAAAGCACGATGCAAGGAGGATGCCAGGGCGAGGGATCCACACCGAATTTCTGCCTTACAGCGGTTGGCTCCTCGGACGCATGGAAGCGTCGAGGTTGGAATGCCAATACCGCGACCGGTCTACGAACCAACGGACAAAGCCTTAGCAAGACTACAGACTTCACCGTTTGTTCCAGCAATTGAAAACGCGCCCCTACCTTCAGGCTTCCTTCAGCCGAAATTCACTACATATGAAGGGAAGACGGACCCATATTCACACCTAAGCCACTTTCGCCAAGTCATGGCTGTGTACAGGCGAAACGAGGCCTTAATGTGTATACTCTTCCCATCAAGCCTTGGCGACTTGGGCTTGACTTGGTTCGAGAAACTCCCAGAAGGCAGCATAGCCTCTTGGGCTCAATTGGTAGAAGCCTTCGTGACAAGGTTTCGAACGAACACTAAAACGCCGGTGGAGATAGACCAGTTGCTTTCCATCGACATGGGTGAAAAAGAGACCCTCAGGTCTTACAACAGTCGCTATTGGGAGACATTCAACCAGATTGGAGACTGCCCCACCAATTTAGCCATTGCACAATACAAAAGAGGCCTTCCAGTCGGAAACAGACTGAGGGACTCGATCACCATGACACCACCCCTTACCATGGAAGCCCTGATGGAGAGAGTGCACCAGCACATCAGGGTAGAGGAGGACGGCGCACGTGCCAAAGCAAAATCCAGTGCGACTCCAGTCCTAGAAAAGAAGACCTCAGCAAAGGTCAACACGGTGGACCGAAGTAACAGAAACGGGCGTGGCAGACGAGATAGTGGAGAGGACCCAGACAAAAGATGGTTGAGAATCCGCACTGCCATAACAACGGTGTTCAACAAACCCATATATCGGATTCTGAGCGAAATAAAGGATGAACCTTTTGTCAAGTGGCCGGCCAAGCTAAGGGAAGCTCAGAAAAATTACGACGACAGATCACGGTGCACCTTCCACAAAGAAAAGGGGCACCGAACTGAGAATTGCACGCCACTGAGACAGCACTTGGAAGAATTGGTGGCAGCAGGCCACTTGGACAAATACATTGAAGGAGGAGTGCAACCGGCCCCCCAAGATCATAATAACCATCCCAACAGAATGCCAATCGACGCCCCTCCACAAGGTATCATCAATGTAATACATGGAGTCTTTGAACCTGAGCGTGTATGCGAGCTCAGGGGATCAATCAAGAAGGCAGAACACTTTAGGGAAGTATTAAGTGCCCAACCTACCATCAAGAAGGGGAGGACAGAGGCAACAAACGTCATGTCCTTTTCGGATAAGGACTTGGAACGAATTTACTGCCCCCATAATGATGCCCTGGTTGTCACTCTCCGAGTCAAGGATTTTGACGTCAAGCGGATTCTGATTGACCAGGGTAGTTCATGTGAGATCATGTATTACGACACATTCAAACAACTAAAACTGCAAGACAAAGACTTGGCACCTGCAGTTTCTCCCCTGATCGGATTCAACTCCATGCCAGAGTGGCCTGTCGGCAAAATAATCCTTCCAGTCAGAGCAAGAAGTGTAACAAAACAAGTGGAGTTCTGGGTATTGAAGGTCCCGTGGTGCAACAACATCATCCTGGGCAGAACATGGCTGCATACCATGCGTTCGGTAGCGTCATCAAAAACCTCTTGACTAAGCTTCTCATTTTCTCATTCAATGGCACACATTGAAGACTTGCCGCAGTCCGCCGTCGACGGACAAACTCCAGAGGGGGGCGCAAGGCGCGAAGGATTACCCTCTGTCCCTCCTATGGCAGATCTGGAGCCCCAACAACATAACTCCAGGAGG